GCCGGGCTGTGTGTGGCTTGACTGAGGGCAGGAGAGCAGCAGCCTATGTCCATCGGTGGTTCTCCCGGCAAATGCTGTATGGGGGACACTTGGGTGTCCTGTTGGGACCTCGCTAGCCTGCTGGGGTTGAAGGCAGCCCTTCCAAGCCTCTGTCCCCTTGGCTGGAGGGGAGCACTGGTGGGAACAGGAGGTGGCCACAGGAGCCGCTCACTAGAACAAGGATTTAGAGGGGGGCAAGCTCTGCAGAGACATGGTGCTATGTGCCTGAGCGCTCGCCTCCAAGCTGGCCAAGCCCTCTTCAGGGCTGCGATCTGGTGAGCAGCGTTCAGCCATCCCTGACTGTCCCTGGGGTTCATCCTGCTCTGGTCTGACTCTGCTCTCCTGCCCATAGGAAGGACCCATGATTCACTCCGGAGCGGTGATTGCCGCCGGGATCTCCCAGGGAAGATCCACGTCCTTAAAGCGAGACTTCAAGGTTGGTGTTGAGGGCTGAGGGGCTGTGCTGCAGGTGCCCCTCCTGTGCCAAAACCAGGCTGTTCCTCAGGGTTGTGCTGGTGACTTGGGGTCATAGGTGGCATGTCCTGTGTCGCCCCTAAACTCATACCTGTGGGCAGACCTAAACTTGCCTTCGCTTTGTTTCAGATCTTCGAGTACTTTCGCAGAGACACAGAAAAGAGGGACTTTGTCTCGGCTGGAGCTGCTGCTGGCGTCTCGGCTGCGTTTGGTGCCCCCGTGGGTGCGTGTCTTGGCCCTCTGACGCTGAGCGGTGCCTGCATGTGGGTCTCGTCAGGAGGTTGCTCCCACTTGCACGGAGGCAGCTGCCGGGATCTGCCCGGGGCACTGCAGGAGCCCTCCTCCAAAGTGCCCGGCCCCACTCCAAGCTGTCCTGCCCCACCTCGCAGGTCTTGGGAAGAGAGGAAGGGGGTTATCTGTCTTGGATCCCAAATGTTGCCTCCATGGGACGGAGGAGGGCAGTGGAGGGGCTTTGCTGCGATCAATACATCTCTGATGGCTTGGTGGGCTTGGCTGGTCCTTTTGCTGGAGCCTGTGAGGTCTGGGCCAGCACCGGGCACATGGGCTGGGATGGGTTTGGGTGTCTCGGCTGGTGCTGTGAGACAAGGGTCTGTGGCACGCGCCCCTTCTGACGGTGTTTGTGTCTTGCGCTTGCAGGAGGTGTCCTCTTCAGCTTGGAGGAAGGGGCTTCCTTCTGGAACCAGTTCCTGACGTGGAGAATCGTAAGTGCTGGAAAGCAGGAGCAGTAATTCGAGGGCGACCGTCTCCGGTGTGAGGCATTGCCGTTTCCTGGTGCCCCGCATGGCCTCCTGCCATCCCTGCCCCAGCTGGGCAGCCATGTGTAGCGTGTCCCAGGGATCAGCATCACAGCTCCCCTTCTGTGCCCTGGTCCTCAGGGGCTGAATTTGGACCTGGTTGAGCTCCATCTTGCTGCCAGCCCCTTCCCTTCCAAGGGAGCTGCCTTGGCCTGTGCCCCAGGGTAATGGAGAGGAGCGAGCCCTGGTCGGTGTAAGCTGCCCAGAGTGCTGCCAGAGGGAACGTAGCCTCTGCTCCACCATGAGTACCAAGCCCTACCCCGGGACCTCTGGGCAGGGGGGGAGAATGATTTGGGGTAGTATGGGGCATGCATTGTGAAGGATTGGGGCTGGCTGTGTCTGGCAGTGACTGGGCTGCATCTCCTTCCAGTTCTTTGCCTCCATGATCTCCACATTCACTCTGAACTCTGTCCTGAGTGTTTACCATGGCAATGCTTGGGATCTCTCCAGCCCTGGGCTCATCAACTTCGGCAGGTTTGATAACGAGGTATGGCACAGATATTCCCTGTGTAGGGCTCTGTTGAGGGGCTTAGAAGCAGCCCACGGCAGCTTGGGGCCACCAGTCTGTCTTAAAAGATCAGCCAGGGGCTGAGGCAGGCTCTGCCCTAGCAGGCTGTAGGGTCTGGCCAGATCCCAGCTCCAACACCAGCAGAAGCCTTTTCTGCAGCCACTGCTGGGTCTGGGGGCTGCGAGGTGTCCCGGGGAGGCTTTGGGGCAGCTCTGGAAGCCTCTCGCCAGCACAGGCTGGTGCTGTCCCAGCAGACAGTGAGCGGCTGTGGGGCTGCAGATGGGCCAGGAGATCTGAAACCCGTTTCTTCTTTGCTTGCAGAAAATGGGATACACAATCCAGGAAATTCCTATCTTCATCTTCATGGGAGTGGTTGGTAAGAGAGTTCTGCTCTTTCAATTTGATTAGTCTGAATAATTTCCGCTGTTCTCTGTCTGGGTCTAAAAAGCTTTGGGATCCAGTTTCCTGGGGAGAGTGGGAAATCCATTAAACTCTGGAGCAGAGGCTGCTTGTGGGTCTTACGTGGGGGTGAGAGCTGGATCCTGGCCCAACCCTCACCCCTTAAAGGCAAGACCCTTTAATCCATGTCCTGCAAGGTCATTGAGCGGGGTCAGTGTGTCGCAGTCGTGGGAGGCTTCTTGCTTTCAAAGAAGCTGCCCTTGTCCCCGCAGAGTTGGCCTGTCCCTCACCTGCCTAGTGCCAGGGCTGTGACGCTGGCCCCCGGCCACCCCACTGCAGGTGCTGGGCTTCTCTCGGTGCCAGGGCCTGGCTGTCTGCAGGGACAGCATCCATGTGTCCCAGGGCTGCCAGTCACGCTGCGTGGGTTGTTGATGTCTCCCCGAGCTTCACGGGTTCCTTGTCCTGGGCAGCCGTAGGGGAGCCTAGGACCTGCATGCTGAGCTTTCCCTCTTCTGCGTTTGCAGGTGGGATCCTCGGGGCCCTGTTCAATGCCCTCAATTACTGGTTAACGATGTTCCGGATCAGGTAAGAGCTCCTGGAGGGCCAAGGTGATTGGCGTGGGTTGGCTGGCACCTTCTGCGCTCCCTCGAAGCAGCGTTCCCAGCCAGAGCAAGGCTGTAATCTCACGGGTGACATGAGCAACAGCAGCCCCTGGGCGCTGGAAGGCAAAGGTGCTGCCTGCGGTCAAGGCTGTGACCCGCAGAATCCTGCCTTTGCTCTGACCCTGCTAAGTATCTTCCCTTAGTGACTTGAGGGCCCAAAGAAGTGCAAACGCTGTGCAGACCTGACTGTTACATGCTTCTGAGAGATGCTGCTAAAGCCATCAGAACCCAGTCTGGTGCAGCCAGTACTTGTCACCGGCTTTTCAAACCCCCGGGCCAGCCTCGTGGTCTCGGGGAGGGATGATCTGTGGCAGCAGAGTGGTGAGGAGCCTGCAGCAGCTTTCAGGGCATTGCTCATCTTGGGGCTTCATGAGCCGCGGCTTTCTGGGCTTGGCTCTGCACTGTCCCCCCAGCCAGGTGACACCAGCCTTTCCGTGGGAGCTGTGCCTGGCTCCATGCAGGGGACGTGGGCTGGTCTGCTGGAGCTGGGTGGGCAAAGCTGCTCTTGCTGCTGTCCTCCCACCCCAGCTCCCCACGACAGCTTCGACAGCGAACAGGGCAGCCCAGCAGGGCTCTGGGAAGGGAGCAGAGGCAGCCAGCCTGTCTGTGTGCCCGATGTGATGTGCTGAGCTGGGCTGCGGGTCGTCCTGCCCCCACCTCTGGGTGCTACCTTCACTCCTCTGCGCCCTTTGCAGGTACATCCACCGGCCCTGCCTCCAGGTGGTTGAGGCCATGCTGGTGGCAGCAGTGACGGCGACCGTGGGGTTCGTCATGATTTACTGCTCGAGGGACTGCCAGCCCATCCAGGGGAGCACGGTGGCATATCCCCTGCAGGTAGGAGATGCTGGAGAAGGGCCCCCAGGGTGCGGGCACACCCTGAGCCTGTGCAGAGGCTGAGGGCTGAGCAGGGAGATGAGACCCTGCTGGGTTTTGTGGCGCTGGATCTCACAGTCAATGCCCTCCACCCTGGGCAGAGCTGGAGACCCAAGCATGGTGTTGGTGTGCTGGCCCAGAGCTGCCTCCTTGCCGGCACACATGCCCCTGAGCCTGGCAGCCTTCCTTGCCGCAGGGCAACCCAGATCTGCCACTTCTAACTCTCTTCTCTTCCCCCTCAGCTTTTCTGTGCTGATGGAGAGTACAACTCCATGGCCACTGCCTTCTTCAACACACCTGAGAAGAGTGTCGTCAACCTCTTCCATGACCCTCCAGGTCCGTGCACCCAGCGAGTGGCTCCTTGAACATGAGGCTTGCACGAGGTGGCCAACCTGTTCCCTGGCCGCTCGTGGGGTGAGGCAGGGGATGTTCAGCACAGCCCCCCGAGGGCATGGTGGGATCCCGCAAAGCACCGTGCCTGCTCCTTTCCTGTGGTGGTGGAAGGAGGAGGGATAGGTGCTGCACCTGGTGGCACCTACAAGCTTGGCCAAAGAGCTGTGGTCTCAGCAGCGTGTGGATGAGGACCTGGTTTTGTTCGGGCATGTTTGCAAGCTGTCGCTTCTGAGTTGTGTGAGAGCATGTCTGACCCTCAGTGGCTGTCTGGAGTCTTTCCTGGAAACATCCCTGGCTGTTTTCTTAATTAGCAGGGCCTCTTGCCCCAGAATGACTTTACCTTCTGGGCAGGTTGTGGAGGTGGATCTTGGGGGTTTGGATTTGCTTGAGAAATGCAATTTGGCGTCCAGGTTCCAGCTCCCATTCCCCTTGGACGCAGTGTAACAGCAGCGTGCCCTCCACCTGCTGCTCTGAGCTTTGTGCCCAGCTGCGTGTGGGTAGGGAACAGACAGCTCCGAACTTCTAGACCCTCAGCCCAGAGAGTGCAGCTTGGCCACCTGAAGCCAAGTGATGACCATCCTGCATCTTGTGGCCGCTCCCTGCAGCGCTGGGTCCTCCCTAGCTCAGGGCTTCAGTCCATTGACCTCTCTGAAGAAGAGGTTGCAAAGTACTCATTTAAACTAGACTGAGCTGCTCAGCAATCCTAAAATAGCAGTAGGCTGAGTCGTGGGGACAGCAAGGTCTCGCTGTGATGGCACAGCCCGTGCCGTGGGACAGCTTGGGACTGGCTGGAGCAGCCGTGGGAGCTGCAGGACAGGAGGGGGTTTGCAGGACCTACTTCAGTTGATCCTGAAGCTGGCGGCAGGACCCTTGCCAGCTCACCAGCACCTCTGTCCTCCTGACCTCGTCCTCCAGTGCTGGCGGTCCCTCGGGGCTTTGAAGTTCGTCACGCTGCCTTGCGGGTGGCTGGGAACTGTGGGGCTGGGAGGGGATGGGTCATCGTGGGTTGCGAGATGGAGGAAGGGCACGTGCTGGGCTCGGTGGGGTGGGAGGGCTTGGGATGGTACTGGCCGGCTGGCGGGGCCCTTGAGCAGGCAGAAACAACCTGAAGAGCTGGTTGGAAAGGCTTGTGCTGCCGCGGAGGAAGGTGCACCTGATGAGATGGGCTCTTGCTGCTGGGAGCATGTCGTGGGGCTGCTGCTGTCTGTTCTCCCACAGTTGCAGCCCGTAACAGAGTCACCTGGGCTGCAGGAGCAGCGCTGACTCTCCATTCTCTCTCCACCTCAGGTTCCTACAACCCCATGACGCTGGGCATGTTCACACTGATGTATTTCTTCCTGGCCTGCTGGACCTACGGCCTCACGGTGTCCGCGGGGGTCTTCATCCCCTCCCTGCTGATCGGCGCTGCCTGGGGGAGGCTCTTCGGCATCTCCCTGTCCTACCTGACCAAAGGCTCGGTGAGTCCTTGGTGGGAAGGGGTTGGGAGCCGCAGCACCCAGCCCTCCTCCCTCACTGCTGGGCAGGCGGCACGTGCAGGCGGTGTGCATGGAGCTGGCTAAGAGCTTGGCACAGCAGTCTGGAGGGGATTGGCTCCTCACCTGATGTCTTCCTGAGCTGCATCTGGGTTTTCCCACAACCTGACAAAGCCCTGCCAGCAGCTGGGCTGTGCAGGCAGCCTCAGGCATTCCTCCCCGCTTTGAAGAGGGGTTTGGGGGCCAGGGCGTTGCTCACTATTTCTGGATGGCCTGGAGCCAGCAGCTGACTCGGCCCCTTCTCTCTCTTGTACTCAGATCTGGGCTGACCCTGGGAAGTACGCCCTGATGGGAGCTGCCGCGCAGCTAGGTGAGTTCCCCACGGCGCAGTCTTGGCCACCTCCTGCTCATGTCGGGGTGAAGGCGGCATGGGAGAAGGCGATCCCTGCTTCCCTGGCCCAGCTTCTTCCCCAGCTGAAGCCCAGCCTGGCTCTTGGCTTCCTAGCGACCTTGCCAAGTGTGGGCAGCGCTCGGCCATAGTGAGGGCTGGGCTCGCCCAGGGCACCCCTGCCTCTGCAGGCAGTCCTGGACTGACGTGCAGAGACTGAGAGGCCTCGGGTGTTTTGCTGTCCCCTTGCCCCACGTTTCCCGGCTCTCCTAAACCCTCAGAACCTTTGGGTGTCTTCTGCAGGTGGGATAGTGCGGATGACACTGAGTCTGACAGTCATCATGATGGAGGCAACGGGCAATGTCACCTATGGCTTCCCCATCATGCTGGTGCTGATGACGGCAAAGATTGTGGGAGACTACTTTGTGGAGGTGAGGGCTGGTTTGCTCACCAGGACATAGTGAGAGGCCATGGGTCAGGATCGGTGCTGGGGAGCTGTGGGGGAAGCCAGTATAAGCGTGTGCTCCCTCTGAGGTGAGCCGCTGCCGGGCCGTACCCCTCGGCATCTCGCCAGGCTTCTGACAGCTTGGCTCTCGTTGCAGGGGCTCTACGACATGCACATCCAGCTGCAGAGCGTGCCCTTCCTGCACTGGGAGGCCCCCGTGACATCCCACTCCCTCACGGCCAGGTAGGTGGGCTGGGTGATGCTTGTCACTCCCAGGGTGGCAGCTGTTGGACCCCGCTCTTGGCCTGAGCTGGCAGTGGAGGTGGTGACACATGTTGGTCCCAGGAGCCTGCTGTCCCCTGGTGCCACCAGCCCAGCTCTTTCCCCAGCAGGGAGTGTGGCGGGCAGTGCGTTCCCTCCCCACGTCCCTGGCAGGTTTTGGGGGCAGAGGAGGCATCAGGGCTGCGGCGGCCTGTGTATTGGGAGGGGATATTTGGGGTGTGCTGCTGTGGGGCCGTGTTTTTCACGTGGAGCCTTCCCTGCAGGGAGGTCATGAGCGCTCCCGTCACCTGCCTGCGGAGGATTGAGCGAGTGGGCACGGTTGTGGACATCCTCAGCGACACCTCCTCCAACCA